GTGAGCCGGAGGTTCATTTTCCTCGGTCGGTGTGGGGCCAGGCAGCAGAACTGGCCTAGAAAGCGGTTGCAGCCGTCGAAATCGACTCTGAGCTGGGCGGCGAGGGAGGCAGCGCACGCTGGAGAGGGCCGAGGGCCTCTTTGGAAAGAGTCCTCCTTTCTGGCAGTTGGCACGTCTATTGCCTGTGGGCCGACTATGAGAGATGCGTGTGGAACAGGAGTGGTAGAGATACCTAAGAGAAGAGGAAGGTGATTCCTTTCCCCTTGCGTGGTGTGATGGAGACCTCTCTTACTCGGTCAAAGTCCATTTCTCCAGGCTTGCTTTTGTAAACAGCTGAATGTCTTGTGAGCTGTTACTCTGCTGGAGCTTTCCAGAGGAAGTAAATGCTGGAGGCAAAGTAACAACGTGTGCCCTTGCAAACGCTCCAGTTAAAGATCCTTTACTACTTAGAGCTTAGCGCTTCTACTAAAACTCATGAACCTGTAAGTTTTGTGAAAGTGACTAGCTATATCAGACTGAGGGAAATGATGATGCTAAAATTGATGTGTAGCCTTTGGCTTTCTGAGCGGCTTACCGTCTTTTAAGTCATTTTGAAGCCTATTTGGGTGACTTCCAATAGTATGTGGAGAAAATCTGTTAATATTCCTGCTTGAAAAATATCCCATTTAAAGAAAGAGGAGCTGATCTAGGATGTAAAGTAAGTGCATGCTGTGCTAGGATTCTTGACCTGGTTTCTGGGTACCATTTGATTTCTTTCAATTGCAATACTAAGCATCCTATGGGATGACAAAACAAGTCTTCCAGGCAGTGTACCACCTAGTTTTGTTCTGAACTTAGGTCCTTAGCTTAAAACTGATCTGACTATGTGGTTTGGATACCTGAAACTCCAAGAAGGGCATCTAAGCATTAATGAAAGCTGGTATCTTCTGTAACCATGCATGTGCCACTGTGAGTAGCAGGGAATGAGGGTTTTTTTGGCAACTTTCTGAGTGTTTATGTGACTGGAGTTCTCCAGATACAAAGTTAATATGTATAAGGCTAGTTTTAAGCTGTCAGGGTACTGCTGCTTGTGCCTCATCTCTCTGGCACTCTGTTTTCTGCTGGAGCCCCCACCCATAAAGACATTTAGCATTCTAACTGTAGATGTTTGATGGAAGGTTGCCTTTATGCTGAAAGTTATGAAGTGCTGATGTTCAGCTGTGTAGCTTAAGTGGAGGTAATCATTTGTGAAGGGAGAGTTTCAGAATAGTTAGGATTTCAATTATGCTGATGAAAGCCAATACTGGGATTGTGTGTGGAGTATGTAAACATTGTCCAGGCTATTTTGTGTTCCCTTCTAGATCTGCTGGAGTGGGTCCAGAGGAGGACCACGAAGGTGATTAGAGGGCTGGAGCACCTCTGCTATGAAGAAAGGCTGAGGGAGCTGGGGTTATTCAGCTTAGAGAAGAGAAGGCTCCAGAGTGACCTAGTAGTGCCCTTCCAGTACATGAAAGGGGCCTACAGGAAAGCTTTTTATAATGGCCTGTAGTGACACGGGGCAATGGCCTGAAACTGCAAGAGCATAGATTTAGGTTAGATATAAGGAAGAAATTCTTCACTGTGAGAGTGGTGAAGCACTGGAACAGGTTGCCCAAAGAGGTTGTAGATGACCCATCCCTGGAAGGGTTGAAGGCCAGGCTGGGGGGCTTTGAGCAACCTGGTCCAATGGGAGAGAGGTGTCCCTGCCCACAGCAGGGGGCTTGGAACTAGGTGATCTTCAAGGTCCCTTCCAACCTTAACCATTCTATGATTCTGTGAATAGCCGAAGATGATGGTTAGGGGATCGGCAAAACTCTCTAGCTGTTCTTGGTGGGATGCTCTGTTCCCTCCTGTAAAGATGACTATTCTTTTTGTAAGAATATGTAGGTGAAAGTGCTGTTAAACAGAAAAACATGCTATAAATGTGGCATGCAACTCATATGCCTTCTGGCTGTTGGTATGCACTTTAAAAAGTTGAGTTGCATGCGCTATTTGCAATTGTTGAATATTTTCTATTTGCAGTGTTGGTAGCCTTATATGAAGAGCCAGAGAAACCAAGTAGTGCACTCGAGTATCCTTTTTATCTTCTGTGAATTGTTCATAGAGTCTTCCCATGAAACAGTGGTACTGCTTATGACTTGTAGGTGAACCGTAGGGGCTCATTTGGGATACTTACATGGCTTTTATGGATGTATTTTAGCTAACAGATGCATTCTTACAACCTAACAAAGTCTGACAGCATACAAGAAGACTGTGTGTATCAGTATGCCAGCAGTTATGAAGTTAAGCTATAGGTAACTACAGAGTGTCATAGACCTGCAATGTTAGATTTGAATACTTATGATATTTGGGGCTTCTAAAGTCAACTTCTTCATGCTTCCTTTTTATTTCTTTTTAATAATACAAGAAGCGGGGAAAAGTCTTTTGTTTCTTGCTGATTTTAAGCAGCCTTCCTTTTTGGTTTTTGCTTTTGGTTATTCCCTTAAACTCTTCAAAACTTCTACATTTAAGAGAGAAGAGGAAGGTGTAGTAAAACACAAAAATGTCCTCTGTGTGTGCTGATGTCTTGGGGTTTGTGTTTTGTGATTTTGTTTGGGTTTGTTTTTTGGGGTGTTTTTTTTTTAAGGAGTATATAAATTAGCTTGAAAATTTTTTTTATTTTTTTGTAATTTCATCTTGTAGGATGGAAAGCACTATAGTAGTCTAAAGTGGTTTAATGCAATTTAGGTCACGTGTATTACAGCACTAATGTCATCATAAGTATTGAAACTAAAATGCAGTTATGCTATCGAACTGAAGAAATACTTAACATCTAAATATCAGCTTTTTGAAGCATCATCTGGGAGCTTCAGCTCCTGAGAATCCAGAAATAGAGGCACTTCGCTTGGAAGTGGCAGAAATGAAAGAAAAATATGAAGCTGTGTTGGAAGAAAATAAAAATCTGAAATCCAAGGTAAAAGTCTACTTAGTCTTCCTGTGTAGTTCTGTATTATGTAACAAGGAGAATACTTTAATACTTATAGTACAGCTAACTTTCTTCCATTGCAGTAACTGGTAAATGTTGTAGCTTTGTTTAGCCTTGTGGCTGAGGGATGTTGATACAATTAATTGAAGTAAAGATTTTAATTTTTATGGGACACCTTAGATTCTAACATACAATAATATTGCTAAACTCGGGATTTTATTTAGTGAATGTGTATGTTATTGAGGCTAATTCTGTGTCTTTGCTCAGTCCTGTCTGGATGTGTTTGTCTGATACCATGTAGCTCATCCTTTCACAGGAGTTTTGAAGAAGAAAAAAAGCTAATGTATCTATCAAAAAGGCTTTCAAAAAGCAAACCAAAGGGGAAATATTATACGTTCCTTTGTGTGTCCTGGTGCAGACTTGCACGTGGCAGGATGTTACCCGTGGAGGCACCTCTATTGACAGGGAACAGTACTCTGCACTTTTCAGCTAAAATAACCCTGGTATTCCTCTGTCTGCAACAGTGGAACTGAAGTGCTAGCTAAGGTAGAGCCATTGTTTAATGGGTTTATGGGCTGTCTGCAACAGCTGTGGGATGTGCACAACCTCTCCTTATGACAGGGCACTGACTGTAAACCTAACACTGCTGGAGGAAACCTTTGAGAGCCTTAATAAGCTAGTAGCTTATGTGCTGCTACAGTTTTTCACGCATTTGTTGGAAGAGGATGGCTGTTGTTATATGTGAACATCCCTATGTTGTTTTTTTGGGGAGGGCTTTATTTGTTGTTTTTTATTTGTGGGTTTGGTGGTGGTTTTTTTAATGGGAGACAACCAGATCAAGAATCCCTAGTTTTAGGAGAAAGAATTCTTGGGCATTGCCACTTTGTATTTCTTGTCTGGAGTGCTTTCTTGCTGTCCTAGTAATTCTCTTCCTTCTCTGTTACCCACTGTGAGTCCTTACAACTACATTTGTTATTTCTTACTAGGAAATAGGGCAAAGAACAGAATTTTAGGGGGAGTAGCAATAGACGAGTAGTTTGCTCGGCGTAGCTGACTTAAAAACGCAACCAATAGTAAGTAGACATGTGAAAACTGAGTAACCTGGGTCTTTGTTTAAAGAAATCTTTTGAAGAAAGCAACACTGGTCTTGGGAAAGTAAGCCTTTCCATAACTATGGGTTTATTTGTGCTTTCACCTTCTTCAGCCTTGAAATAACTCTCCCTTTTTGTGTTTGCAGTATTAATGTTTCTGTGTTTTCCCTTTCTTTCCCCTACCATCATCTACCTGTCATTCTCATGTACTGTAGAAGTTCATGTGGACAGAATGCAGGGTGAACACTTCCATTTAGCTCTGGGGTGTTGTGGGGTTTTTTTTAGCAGTCCTTTAACATAAAATGCATGTCTCTAACCATGCATTTATAGGTAACTGGAATCATGTTTTACAAATAGGTGATCTTCTGTTGCATTCATCTGTGAAGTTCTGTTCTTTTCCTTACCTGACATTCTGACCAAAAATTGTATTTGGATGAGGCAGGAGGCAGAAAGTCAATAGTTAGGACCTTTGTGGAAAAGAGAATGGACTTTCGGTTGTGAACTGGCCATCTTCTGTGGTAAAATCTACAAGAACGACCGAATGCTATTTTAGTGGTGCTTGTTAGTGACGTAGTGATTTCTGTAGTGTTGCTATGAGGAATGCGTGAGTATATCAATTTTCATGTGCTTTGTTTATTTTTAACCTAATGTGCAGTTTGCAGGACAGGGAAAGGGTATTAACTGGGGAAACTGGACTGGCATGTTTCAGAGACTCAGTCCTAATGCTTGAACTGTTTTATACTGGTTTTGAAGCTTGAGCTTATCTTTAATGTAACTGAGGTCAAGTAAGCACCTTCATATGTTTCTTTGGAAATAACTTTACAAGTAAAAGTAATACTTTAGTGCATAGTTGCCTAGACCGTACTCTCCACAAGGCATAATGAAAGCCGGAATGACTACAGGGAACATTAGTTTGGGTACTGTTGCAATGAGAATGACCCTTTCATGTAATTGTATTTCAGTGAAATCAAACTTACAAGGTACTGAGCATTATCAGCTGCTATTTGAGATGAAAAGTACCTAGACCAAAAAACAGGTGAAAATTTAGGGCAAGGCCTATATGCTAGAAAAGCCTCCTTGTTGTAGCTGCATGATTATACAATGTGACAAACTGGTATTTTGAGGGAGGGTTTGCTCTGTTGCCTGAATTGGAAATGGACTTGCATCTCTGAAGGGTTAAAATGCACAAAGTGAATGGAACACTTCCAGACCAATCATTTCTTAATGTAGAAGGTGTCTCTGAAATGTTACAGCTAACTGAATTCCTCTCTTTAAATCCACAGCTGGCTCAATATGAACCACCTCAAGATGAGAAGCATGGTGAATAACAGTAGTTTCTCCTTTAATGCCTTGACTTAATAAAGGGATTCCTGAGAACTGCAGTTTGTTGGTTGGTTTGTGTTTTTCAATGGGTTTTGTGTTTTGTTGTGTTTTTGTGTGTGTGTGTGCACTCTGCGTGCATATTTTGTTACCTCACCACTTTAAAGAGAGAAAAAATGCAGTATTATGAGTATACAGCTAAATTTGTGCAGCTGCAGCAGCAACTTATGAGCTTAAGCATACTGGACAACTTTCTTGCTTCCTGTGTTTTAAGAAAACGTCATAGATATTAACTTGCAGATAACTGTGGCCGCCAACAAATTTTGCATCGTGGTTGGTGGTCCCGTTAACTGGAAGAGATGACATGACACAGGTAGACCAACTGTAAACTGAAGAGGGGCCTTCTGGGGTGTGTTCTAAGTTGGTGCTCAGCACTGAGGTTAGGCTGTAGCCTCTCCTTAGGATGTATCCAGATCTCTAGATAACTGTCTGCGCAAAGGGAGCAAGTATAGTTAGGTTAAGTGATGAATGTAGCACTATGTTGGAGATGCGCTACCTAGTGAAGTACCTGTTCCCATGCAGTTCATGTCTCTGATCCTGTTCCAGAAACTGAGCATTGGAGAGTTGATCCAGATACTGCCTGGACAGTTCTGAACAGAATACAAAACTATTATTTGTAGCAGATTACTTGTGTAATTAGAGTGGCACATGTAAGATCACAGTGTGGAGAGTTCTGGTTTGATTCCTCTAATGGAGAAAAGAAAATCTACGCAGGACAGAAAATCTGTGAGGGGGGTGTGCATGACTTCTGATTTCCACTTCTGCCTCTGTGTTCTGTGGCCCCTGTTTACCTGAATCACCTTCACATTTCTCTTGAAATGCAATATGGGCTTGTATGGAGAAGAAAAGATACACCTGAAAGAGCTACACTTGTCTCCTGTCCTAAAACTGGGTACTCTAAAGGCAACTGATAATGGGAAAAACAAAGGGGAGGGGGGAGTGTGGTTGTTTTCTTAGTATATTAGATCAGCTGGCTATCAGTTTAACTTCTTCATTTCTAGGATAGGTTTTGCAGCTTGCCTTACAGGTGTGGTAGGACAGATCAGAGCTTTTGCTAAAGGCAATGTATGATCTGAAATCAAGGGCTAATGAATGCAGTGGCTGGTACCTATTAATGATGCTAAGTGACCAGAAGAGAGGTAAATGAAGGGAAAATACTGTGTTAAATCTGTAAAACAACAACAAAAATTTGCCCTGAACAAACAAACAAACAAAAACTGAAGAAAAAACTCAAATGGAAAAAATGCCCTACCCTCTGCAACAAAGGAAAGAATAAAGCTTGCTTGTAAGCTGAAACATACACTTGGCATGAAGTTGCAGCATGTAGAAAGAGGGAGAGGATATTGGAACTACATCGTATGACCGAACAGGTGCTGCACCTGGCGTGGCTGGAGGGAGACTGAAACAAACGCTGCGTGGGGCGAGTCTGGCCAAGGAAGCGGCAGGCGGGTAAGGTGCTCAGTCGAGGGATGCCAGGTGTGAGGGCAGTGGTGCACGCCTTCACTTTGCATGACTAGTCGCTTCCTTCTAAAAGCAGCTTGGTCTTGCAAGCTTGAAATGAGGACGGCAGCGGAAAAAGGAAATTATGCCGGTAGAGAGTTAGTGACTATTAACGAACGTGAAGTACCTGGCTTCGCAGGTAACGTTCGCTTCGCGAGGGCGGTGGCCTCAGCGCAA